CATGTACCCAGGGTATCTTCTATGCTTTTGAGTCTTTCCTTGCATTGGGTGCTGGAGAATATTTTGGTGTTATCCACTAATATTCACCATATGTTGATCGTGATGTGCTGGTCGATATGTGCACGAATTGTACTGTGTTTAACAGGTGACATGACAACCTGCGAGAGAGGGTTGTCCCTATGTGCCCAATATAAGTATTTATTGTTTTTTTTTTGTTTTTTTTTTTTTATTAACATTGGAGATGCATTCTCCCAGTGAGCATGAGAATTGATAAATAACATTATTTTTGTATAGTGGAGATATTTGAGATCCTGTGTTGTTGCTAATGATGACATTAGATATTTTTAACTTTTTCTTACGATCGCTGAAAGATATATATCGTCGAATTATATTTTTAAATAATTCTGTTTATAATTAAGGTGCATCTGGTTACAGCAGACTAAGTTTGTATTTACTGAACTCCACCACGGGGTGAGGTTGTGACACAAGGTCGGTTTAACGTAGGGAGCCCGAGCTCGTACACCCGGGCTAGGAACAAAAATTCCCGAGCACCAGCAACCGTTGGTTGCGCTAGACTCGGTGCGTGCACCGAACCCTCTATCTAGTGCAATGAGAGGGCGCGGCCTCGGGCAACTATTCACCAGGGCCGGTACCTCTCAGTATAATTTTCCTCAGTTGCGACTCTGTCCTTTGACGGAGTCACTCCTGAGTGCACTCTGCCCGAGGGCAGAGACGCAACTGAGAGATGATAAGTAATGTGTTATAAACTACTCGAGAGAGAGAGAAATTTACACATAGTAGACTAATTTAATGACATGTTTATTTTCATTTGCTTCAGGGTGTTGTGTATTGTGTGTTTCTCAATTTTGTAAAAGAATTTAGAGTAATCCATAACTTATTCTGGGAGGAAATCGTTTCATTGTGGATAGAAAATGAATTGAGTTGATATACAAAAAAAAGGAAGGGGCGTAAGACAAGGGTTTGTATTTTCTAGAGATTTATTCAACTTCTACAATGATGCAATCCTAAGGGAACTGGAGACCCTAACTGTATTTATTATCGGTAGAGGTAATCTTAACAAAATAAGAGACGCAGATAATACTAAGTTGATGGCCGACTCGGTAAGAAATCTACAGGACCTTCCAGACAGTGTGGTAGAAGTGAGCTAGAATAAAGGACTAACCATCAATTGCAAGGATACAGAAAGTTTGGCCATCAGTAAGAGAAGAATCCCAAGACGTGGGTTACGAATTGGAGATATAAGCATCAACAGCACGTGCAAATGTTTAAATATATGGGAACTGTTTTAACCGATGATGGAAAAAGCGACACCAAGATCTGAACACTCATTGGACTAGCAAATGAAGCATCCAAAAGCAAACTGAGATAGATAGATAGATAGATAGATATGAAGACACGGATAGATAGATGGTTTCTAATATCATCTCTTGTCTGGATCCCCACAAAGCACATGGACCTGATGGTATCCCTGTAATAGTCTTTAAAAATGTGCTCCCAAACTGGCTCCTGTTCTCTCTAAACTGTAAAATAAATGCCTTGCTGCCTCTTGCTTGCCTACATGTTGAAAATTCTCCTCTGTTCCAGTCTTTAAGAATAAAGCTGAAACGTCTGACTCTTCAAGCTATCGGCCTATTAGCCTTCTACCTGTTTTTTTAGCAAACTATTAGAGGCCCTCATCAACTCTGAATTGTTTAAGCATCTTACATAGTAGGGCCTTCTCTCAGACAAGAAATGTGGCTTTCGCTTCTCTAGATCAGTTGTTGATGTAGTAACAATTATTAATGAAAGATCATATCAAACTTTAGATAAGACTGGTGAAGCTCGATCTGATGATTTGGATATCTCGAAAGCGTTTGACAGTTTGGCATACTGGTCTTCTTGATAAACTGAAAGGCTATGGTATTTTTGAACGAATTTCTGAACTGATTCACTTTTTCTGATCATTTCGCATAATGAAAGTTGTCCTGAACGGCCACTCTTCTAGATCTTTTTTGTAATAAAGCAGGTGTCTCACAGACTCTATCTTTGTGTCTCTGTTCTTCATTTTCATCAATGACCTTTCTGATGACATAAATTGTCAACTTGATATTAATGCTGATGACACAACCATTTATTCCTGTCCCGGTAGTAATCCTGATCAGTTCGAAAAAGTCAGATTAGCCGCTGATATCAAAAAATTACTTATAGTCTGTTGTTAACTGTAGCAAGAAATGGCTTGTTAATTTCAACGCGTCCAAAACGAAATTTCTCTATATCGATCACTTAAAAGACTTCTTCCCGGCTCCCACCAGCATGGCTGATATTAACCTTCATGAGAGTGACATTTTGCGCCTTTTTGTGCAAACAATATTGGTTGGCATGAAGTGGAAAGATTATATGGAATCAATTGCTAGGTTTTCTCGCTTGTGAACCTCTCTCCGACTTCATGCTTTCCAGCCAACTTTGATCTTCAAAAATTCAAATGTCAATCAATCTTTTTCTCGCACCCTAATAATGTTTCTCTTTTTTTTTTCATATTCTTTTACACTCAGTAACGTCTTGGAACTTAGTGGCTTTACTACCTTACATGGGATGATATGATAAAAAAAAAGCTAGATTGCTAGATGGATAGAAATGTATGACAGATGTAAACAAACACATATTCAACAGGCTTAGATAGATAGATAGATAGATAGATAGATAGATAGATAGATAGATAGATAGATATGAAAAGGACTGAGATAGATAGATAGTAGATAGATAGATAGATAATGATCCGACAGAGATTGGTATGAAAAATGAGATAGATATGAAATGACCGAGATAGGTAGATAAACAGAGAGATGGGCAAATAGATAGATAATCATGCGACTGAGAGAGATATAAAAATGGGATTGATATGAAATGATAGAGATAGTTAGATAAACAGAGCGATAGGCAGACACATACATTGATAAACGGTTTATCTATCTATCTATCTATCTATCTATCTATCTATCTATCTATCTATCGCAGTACATACCTTATTCGAAAATTGGCAAAAATTCAATAAAAAATTACACCAACAGACCTTGTCGGTTCTATTTAATAAAACTTTAATATTTTGTGCTTAAATATACCTTTTATATATATATATATATATATATATATATATATATATATATATATATATATATATATATTCTCCAACCATGATCTGATTAAGATGATAGATATGAAAAATGAGATATAAAATAGACATAGGTAGATAGATAGGAAGAGAGTGAGATAGTTAAATAGATATGTATGAACAAGCTGATTTTCATAGATAGATAGATAGATAGATAGATATGAACAAAGTAAAACAGATAGATATGAACAAAGTAAAAGAGATAGATAGATAGATAGATATGAACATTCGATAAATGCATCCACTTTAATGGATACATGCTTTTCTGTATTGCAAAGGCTAATAACTTTCGCGACAATTCCATAAATAATTAATGTTAATTTTCCTTCTGTGAAGTAATTCGAAGTCAGGTCGACACGACTCGCCATCTTTAATACATCACTTGTACGTAATCTGGTAAACACGTATGAAAGTCGACACTCTAAGGCGCCGAATAATGTTGTGAAACAAGACCCGACATCTGAAGACAAGACAAGCCCGGGAAATATGTAAATATTTATGCAAATTAAATTTAGGGTGCAGAAACAGAAGCCGCGATGAATTTTAATTCTTGTGTCGGCGAATAAATTCAAGATATTCCTGCCTCGTTTCGTTCGTGTTGTTCTTACTTTAACTCCTATGACTGGAAGTAGTGTAAAAATCGAAGAGAGAGAGAGAGATATACAGAGAGAGAGAGAGAGAGATAGAGGGGGAGGGAGAGAGAGAGGGCGGGAGAGATGGAAAGAGAGATGGTGATGGAGAAGGCGGGATAGAGAAGTAGGGAGAAATAAAGTGAATTGGAGATAGAGAGAGGGGGAGACAGGCATACAGAGTTTTCGAAATGTGCGCGTATGGTAAAATTTTGTGGGTTTTTATTTGACAGTGAGAAAGTCAGAGACTGTTCTATAATTTGAGAGAGTGTGTATAAGAGAGAGAGAGAAAGAGAGAGATAAAGAAAGAGAAAGAGAGGGAAATAGAGAGGGAGAGATAAAAAGAGACGGTTAGGGACTGAGAAAGACATGAAAGTTTTTGATCGTGAGTGAATGAGAATGAAAGAACTTTTTCCAGTTTTTGTTTATAATAGACAATGAGAGATACTTTTCGACTATTTATATATGTATGACTGAGTAAGAGAGAGAGAGAGAGAAAGAGAGTGAGAGAAAGAGGAATAGAGAGAGAGAGAGAAAGAGAAAGAGAGTGAGAGAAAGAAAGATAGAGAGAAAGCGAGAAAGAGGAATAGAGAGAGAGAAAGAGAGTGAGAGAAAGAAAGATAGAGAGAAAGCGAGAAAGAGGAACAGAGAGAGAGAGAGAGAAAGAGAGAGAGAAAGAAAGATAGAGAAAGAAAAGGAGAAAGAGAAGAGAGAGAGAGAGAGAGAGAGAGAAATAAAGTCAGAGAGAATGAGAATGAGAGAAAGAAAGTTAGAGAGACAAAAATATAAAAAGAGTGCGTTTGAGAAAAGATAAAAGAAAAACGCAAAAGAGATAATGAGAAAGTGTGATAAGAGGAGAGGTGCCGAATATGTCTGTGTGTGTGTGTGTATTTGTGTGTGTGTGTGTGTGTGTGTGAGAGAGAGAGAGAGAGAGAGAGAGACTTTTCGAATCCCTATATTTAAAGAGTGAGTCTATGGAGAGTAGAGAAGAGAGTACATGCTATAAGTAAAAAGGATAAACTTTTACTCAGATAGAGCAAGCAACGTTAAACAGACTAGAGGCTCTCTGATAGGCCAAAAGGAATTAGCTGAAGAAGACGGCCCTGAATACAGAAAAAGTTAAGAAATAGAAATATGGCGGAGCAAAGTATGGGAAAGACAAGAGGCGTTCTCCAACGTGGGTGGCGGAACCGGCGCGACAAATGATTGAGAATTACTTGCGCTTATTGTCAAGACTGATTCGATGCGATCAAAAGCGAGTGGGCGCCAAGCGAACGTCGAAATCCGTGACTATCGGAAAAGGTAAAAGAAAAAACCA